TGTGTGTCGCGCGTGTCGTGTGCCGCGTGTGGTACCTAAAGGTAGACAGCGGACCGGACCCTGCGGGACCACGACGCCGTCCTGCAGCTTCGTGACCTCGTGCGAGCGGGCGTTGGTTTCGTTGTGGATGGCGTGGTCATTTCGAACACTTGGGGACCCGAGAGAGATCAAGAGCGCGACGTCGGCAAAAAAACCACCGCACACGCACACGCACACGCACACGCACACGCACACGCACACGCACACGCACACGCACACGCGAGCGTACACTTTGTCGGAGAGGCGCTCCATCGTCCAGTCGCGAGCCAGACGACAAGGGTCGTTCCGAAGTGTGAGTAAGGGAAACGACCGCCCCGAACCGAGTGTGCGTTCCGGCTCCCCTACGGCCACCTCGGCGAGCAGCAGACACGCCTATCAAGTCACACGACATACACGACACACACGACACACACGACACGACACGACACGACACGACACACACGACACACAGTGAATGATGTAAATCTTGTGTGTGATGGCGTGGCGAGCGTACGTTTTCCTGGGCTGCCGGTTCCCGATAGATCGAGTTGCATGTCTCCTGCTCCTGGCACACGGCGTAGGCGAACTGCGACGAGAACATGAAGCCTTCGCGCACACACGACCGGCGAGGTAAGAAATAGACCGCGGGTCCGCGGGCATTTACATAAAATGAAAAGGTCCGCGGGGGGAGCGTACTGCCTTGCGCCGTTCGCGGTATCTCTGCAGTGAGGGCGTGAAACACCTGGTGCCGCGGAACACCGTGCCACAGCAGTATACGCTTTTCGTCTGCATTCACATGCACATCATCAGTGGTGTGTGTGTCGTGTGTCGTGTCGTGTGTGCCGTGTGTGTGTGATCCTCGGGTTTCTGGTGTCGTGTAGTGTGTGTCATTGTGTGTGCGTGTCGTGTGTGTGTGGTGTCGTGTGCCGTGTCGTGTGTGTGTCGTGCGAACCGTTGTAGGTGGACTCGAATCCGGCGCCGTGGACGTGCTCAGCGTAGGCGGCCTTCTCCTTGAGCACAAACACCTCCTTCACTTGCAGCGAAGTCTTGGGCATCGTGTTGGTCTCGCCCAGGTACTGCACGCAGGCCCCGAGAGAAGAACAAGCTGAGTCGCACGAAGCGCAGGTGTTTGACGCATTTGCGCGCGTGTCGTGTCGTGTCGCGCGCGTGTTGTGTTGTGGTTGACGCATGAATTGATATGGATAGGTGCGTACCTTCAAAATAGTGCGAAACTCGTGCGAATTCTTGGCGAGTGGTTCAATGTGGTAGTTGAAAAGGTTTTCGTAACAGTGCTCCGCCACGTTCTGTGAGCGACACGACACGACACGACACGACACGACACACGCGCGACCAATGAACACAGCATGACGACAACGACAATTATCATTATTTGTTTAGTAAGACAGGCATAGACCACCTAACTCGTCACACCACCGAACCTCGTCATTGATCTCGTCGTGGATCGATTGTAGCTTACGGTAGTTGAGCAGGTTCTGAATAGCAAAGCAGAGAGTCAAACTCAGTCTCAGTCGAGCCCTGGGCGCCGCAGACACCGCACACATCACCGCACACGCACACATGCACACACGCATACCGTGGTGGCGGCGCGGATGGAATAGAAGTTGGCCATCACCTCCTTCACGACTTCACCACAGCTGAATGGCAGCTGCGCACATGTCACAACAATGTTGAGTGAGCAACTCAGTGCACACACCATCGCACACACCGCACACACTACACCGCGCACTGGACAAGACACACAACCGCAACGCATGGCGCACACGCGCATACGTCCAGTGTGCGTAGTGTGTGCGGTGTGTCGTGTAGGCGAACCTCGGAATAGGGTGCGTGTTCGAGATAGGCGACCACCTGCTTGAGTATGTGGATCTTGCTCGCATTGCTGAGCTCGACCTCGTCTTCCTCGAGGTCTCTCTCCTCAATCGATTGGAGTGCGTCGAGTGCCGCCTTGACGTCCTCCAGGCTGGCTTGAGTGTGGTGCAGACCGCACACGACACACGACACACAACACGCGACACACAACAGCACACACAGCACACACAGCACGACACAAAAAAAACGTGTCAGACGGGTTGAGGCAGAGAGTGGTCAGCGGCAGTACCTGCTTCGAGCTTCTCTTCGGCAAAGTGCTTGGTGAGGGCGGGTTTCATGGTCTGGGCGTTGATGGCGGCCGTCACCAGCTGCTTCACCTTCCACTCCAGCCCGGCGTAGGTCGTGGCGACGACCTCCTGCTCCTCCTCTTCCTTCATCTTTTCTTCTTCAATTATTATTTGAGCAGCTTGAGACTCGCTACGAGATGCAGTCTTCTCCTTTCCCTTCTCTGCACGTGCCACTTCGAAAAGAAAAATTTAGTTACAATACAAAAATTAATTTAATATTAAATTAATATTAAACATATATCGCAACAAGTGGGGCAAGGTCTGTACCTGGTTCAGTCGTTACTTCAGCAATCTCTGTTTCTTCTTCTTCTTCAGACTCGATACGGCGCTTTTTCTGAAGTGTTTACTTAGCACGAAATGGGAGAAGAATAATACTTCCAAAAAGAATCTATGAACTACCTTATCCTCAGCAGGTGCTGCAGAATCAACTTGTGGCTTTCGCTTTGGCGGCATCTCTCTCCCAATTTGTGCGAATATCTTCAGCTGTGATTCGTGCACTGTCTCGGCTTCGTAGAAGTTTTTTATTACCACAAATAATTGGCGTAATAACTAGGAGTATTTGGAGTATGTGCTCATTTATTTATATTTCATTTTGCATTATTTTTTCTTTTTGAATAAAACAGCAATGGAGCGTGTGGTGCGCGAGGCGGAGCGCACGGGCCGAGCGGCAGTGGAGCAGGCCTACGTGCAGCGGCTCCCCAAGAACCTCACCGCGGGGCCGGCCGCCTCTGCCCTCCGCCACCTCAAGCTGTGGTACTGCATGCTGCCCGACGGCGCCCTCCCCCCGCTCGGCACGACGCGGTGCGATGGTGCCCAGGCCACGGGTGATCGTGAAGGTCTTGCCACCGGTGAGGGTCACTCTACACCACAGGTACCACCACCAAGACCCTCACCTAAAAAAAAGATGAATGAACCTCACGTGCCCTCCGCCGCCAACGCACCTGCACGATGCGGGAGTGAGGGTCTTGCAAGACTCACACACTTGGCCTCTTGGCTTGGCTTGGCGCAGGGAGAGGGATTCGGGGCGAGGCTGCGGTCGCTGCACCTGGGGTCGAACCTGCTGACCAGGGTGCCGGAGGGCCTGGAGCGACTTGGCCACCTGCGCGAGCTGATTCTCAGCGGCAACTACTTCACCGCCATCCCGCCGTCCCTCCTACAGCTTCGCAGGCTCACCCTGCTCGTGCTGAGCTACAACTCCTTGGTACATACGTCGTATTCGATCGCCCGCAAACGCGCGGACCACACACGTACACACACGTCACACACACACGTCACACACACACGATACACACACACGATACACAATGGTGGGTAAATTGATGATGCTGTTATCAACAGACCGCGCTGCCCGACGGCTTCTGGGGCGCATTCCCCGAGCTCACCTATTTGTCGCTGCATCACAACGAACTCACAGCTCTTGGGTACCCAAATTCTGTTTTCTTTCCTTCTTCCGCGCTCACTCGAGTGACGGCGGACAACGCACAGGAGCGATTTCTACGAGCTGGGGCCTCGGGTCGAGGTGCTCTACCTCCACTACAACAAGATTGCACACATTGAGCCGCCGCCGGCGTCGGTTCCGTCGAATTCACTCGCCAGCCTCCGGAGCCTAAGCCTCAGGTCCGTACAGCGAACTTTCTTAACAACAACCAACAACTACCAACAACGAGGAAGAGGAGCTAACCTTGTAGCTCGTTTGAATGTTGACAGCCACAACGAGCTGCCGTCGGTGCCCGCCGGGTTGATGAGCCGCCTGACGGGGCTGAGTCTGCTGTTCTCGAGCACAACAGGCTCGAGGAGCTGCCCGACGCAGTTTGCGGTTTGACTCGGCTCGAGCTGCTCCGGGTGGACTGCAATCGGCTGCGATGTCTGCCCAATGGAATGTCTGGCATGACCCAACTCATCGGTACGCACGCACGCTCTTGGCGGCGTTTTCGTGTGGTACTCGCGCTCACCTCGCACACGACGCACGACACGACACACACGACTTGCAACACTACATATCAGCCCTCGACTGCGACCACAATCAAATCCAGGCGCTTCCGAGGGACGTGCTGCAACTGAAAGAAAGGGCCAACCTACGCGTTCTGCGCGCTGTCGACAATCCACTCCGGCTGGCGGCCACCGACGAGCTCCTCCTCAGCACTCGCGACACCCTCTTCTGCGACGTCTTTGGTGCCTACCACCACCACCACCACCACCCATGTCGGCCTCTTCCCCCACGACTCACAGATCTGTCGGTACTCGTCGTAACAGTCGACAATGTCAAGGCCGCGGCGGACGACGGCGATGATGATGACGTGACGGGCAGCAGAGGCCGCGGGAGCTGCGGGGGCGGGCTGTCGGTCCCTCTTCTGCTGGGCGCGCTGGCGAGAGAGGAGCAGCTGCGGCAGATGCCTGGGCCGGGCTGCTACGACCTGCGGTCGTCGTATTCGCACCTCTCGTCCGTGTCCCAGCTGCAGGTCTACCGGCAATGGTATTCCGCGTGCCCTCCAACGCAACGCAACGCAACGCAATGCAATGCAACACACTCAAGCCGATATTAATGACGTGCACAGGGATTCGGCTTCATGCGGATACCATGCGCTCAAGAATGCGATCATCGGCGTGCTGGCCGTGGTCAACAGGAAGGAGGATGAAGAGGTGCGCGCCTTTTTCCCCCTACGTTCGTGGCGGCGGTGGGTGGCGGTGAGCTAACACGAATTGCAATTACGGGGGCAGATATCCGACTCTGTGCTGCGGCTGATGCGATCCGCGCCGCACTTCTGGGCTCTGTTCTTTCACTGGCAGGCCCTGCTCCTCCACAAGGTGCGCACCACACGGCACACGGCACATGCACGCACAGCACACGCTGAAGCCAACAATCACTCGCCACAGGCCGAGAAGGTGAGAGAAAAGGCCCGAGCTCAGGGCAGGAAATGGGATGTGGTGTGGGAGGACGTCAACATCAAGCACGGCATCATGGAGCGCAACTACATCGACTACTTCCAAAAGCGCGACAACATCATCCGTACGCGTTCACACTCCCCTCGCCACTTGTTGACCGAAATGGTGCCTCTTACCATGACGTCACTGGACACCACCAGAGGAGATCGGCGCAGAGCATTTCGTCGTGATATCGGGTACGTCTTCCTAGCAGCCTCTCCAATCCACAATTACTATGTCCTAACAATCCGACCGCACACGCACACGCACACGCACACGCACACGAACCACGCACAGCACACGCACACGCACACGCACACGAACCACGCACACAGATTTGGGCTACATCACCAGCGACCCGTATGATGTGTCGGCCATTGTTGCCCTGGACGACAGCCTTTCGATGCGAAGCGGCACTTTTACGGCCGGCAGGCATCCGGTCAAGGCGTTCGTCATAGGTACCGTACCGCCCGACTTCCTCTATTCTCTAATGTAAACCGGTCCACCCACACCACGACGCGGACCCAACTTGTGCTGGGATGTGTGCAGGAGTGTCCAAGTCCCACTTCGTCACCGTCATCGCCTACCTCGACCGCAGCAACCGGCCCAAGTGCGATTAACCCCCCCCCCACAGCGCAACAGTTGAGGGTACTGTGGATTGTGTGCTAACCCTAACCTCCCGCCCTTTACATTCGTAGGTACATTATTTGCGATTCGTCGGACTATGAAGACCAAGCCACCACACCCTCCTCTACAGCAACTGAGGTAGCGCTCTTGACGTTCATTATTTTTACAACGTGTATTTAGACAAGATATCTCAATTGGTCTTGATTGCTCCTTTAAGGACGGAGACGAGGAGGAAGTGGAGATGGACATCGACGAGCAGCTGGGCACGCAGCGGAAAGTGCGCAGCATCGAGCCCAACGTGCGCATGGTCATCGAGTGCCTGATGTACGCCGCAACACGCTCAATCGCCTGGAATTTCATGATCGCACTCATGACACACGCACACGCCACACACGCCACACACGCCACACACGCCACAACAGGGGCCAGGACAGTTTCCGATCGTTCTATCTGCGCCAAATCGTGGAGGGATTTATTCACCAATCGCTCATGCTCCTGCTCGACTGGGACACTAATCAAGTGGACCCGGCCAAGATCGAGGACTGGCAGCTGTCGGCGTCGACCTTCTTCGCCAGCTTCTGGGCCAAGGCTGTCGTCCTGGGCCTGCAGCACGTGCCAAGCAGCACCAAGGACGAGATCCGGGCCTACTGCCGACAGCTCTGCGCCAACGAACAGGTCCGCCAGCTGCTCCACTGGATGCTCTCCGGTTCGTTTCCGCACACGCACACACACGCACACGCACATGCACACACACACCACCGCACACGCACACACAGGCTCATCGGATTCGTAAATCAGAGAATCGAGAAGGCGTGGCTGCGGTGTTTGGCTTGCCGGAGGGGGAGGACCCCTTGCGCTCGCTCCTTGCCTCCTCCGCCCACCCTGCTCGCATGTAGGACTCAGCGGCCACACGACGACAAGCGTCGAGTTAAAGTCTTCCCGTTTGTCGGCATTGTGTTGCCCACAGACGATCTGCAAGCCTCTCCCTCCTGTGACGAGGCACAACAGAGCACCTCCACCACTCCTCCATCTCGGGGCGTTCCATGAGACTTGCAGTGTGCGTTTCTTGTCACGCCGTCTTGTCGGCAAGCTTGCACCATTTGTTTTTATTTCCTGGCTACACATCTCGCGAGCCAGCACGTGGACAATCTGCAACAGATCGCGATCAAACAAAAATGGAGAGCAGCGATGATGATTGGCTTCGAATAGAAGAGGAACGTTGTGGGATGCGTGCCCACGCAGATCAGCGGACAACGAGGCGCGATGAGAACCTCGCCCTGAATCTCGCGGTCTGTGCAGAGCACATTATGATGATAGACACCCACGCAGATGGGGAGCGGGGGAAGGAGAAAGGCGTATGTGGAGATGAAAATGGGGAGGGTTTCGATGAAGGAGAAGAGGAAGCTACTACACCTCAGCAAGGTGCAGCGCGAAATCGAGCGAACCAAGATGAATCTGGAGTCGGTTTGCAGGCCGACAGGGAAGCGCTACTCAACATTCAACGCAACCCTGAGGTGCACGTTCGAGCAAGCAAGACCTACCACCTGCCGTGCCCCGTAGGCGTGGATATCGGTGGCAGCCTCGCCAAAATGGTACAAATTCGCCTGGATTTTTGTAATTACTTTGCAATCGATTGTTCAACTCATAAGAGATATCATCAGAGATTTGTAGGCTGGGCTGTCTTGATTGATGAATCTTTATTTGTTTTGATTGTTATTACTTTTCTATGACAACGACGCAGGCGTACTTCAGACCACCGAACCCGCCGGCCATGCCGTCCTACGTTAATGTGGAGAAGCACTACTACAACGCCGGCAGCGACCTGCCCGTCAAGCCCGACATGTCCCTCGAGATCGACCTTTCCCGTAGCGTTCTCCCTCTCCACTTACACAGCCGCACACACCACGCCACACGGCCGGCGCACACGACCGCACACACACTCACCCTACGCGTCCGATTACTTTCATTTTTTTTGCCTCGCGACAGATGGGTCGCTGGGCGGAGTGCTCAAGTTCCTCAAGTTCCCCTCGGCCAACGTGGTCGAGTTCGTGGACTTCATCCTCTGTACGCACGTTGCACCTCATCAGCCTTCCGAATTTACAGCTTCGCTCACGACACGACACGACACGACACGACACGACACGACACGACACGACACGACACGACACGACACACGACCAACGACACTGCGCAGGTCACAACCTGCACGCGGGGTATGGCGGCACGGACAAGATTCGGGAGATCAACTGCACGGGCGGCGGGGCCTACAAGTTTCGGGAGATCGTGAAGAGCAAGCTGGGCATCCAGCTGGTGCCCTGCGACGAGATGCGGTCCATGATTCGCGGCCTCAACTTCCTCCTCCGCAACACCAAGAACGAGATCTTCTGCTTCACCAACAGAACGAAAAAGGTACACGAAAACGTGACAATGATGATGGTGTGTGTCGTGTGTCGTGTGTGGTGTCTCGTGTGTCGTGTGTCGTGTGTCGTGTGTCGTGTGTCTTGGTGATGACTGCGCACCGGTGTGGCTGATCGTGACGCATCTCGTTGTGCGCCAGGAGTTTATCGGCTGTAACGAAAGTGAGATATTTCCCTACCTGATGGTCAGCTGCGGCAGCGGCGTCTCCATTCTTCTCGTAAAGGGAGACGACGACTACGAACGGGTCAGCGGCTCGGCCATCGGTGGAGGTATCTATTTACTTTCTCTTGCCTTCTTCGTCATTATCATCATCATCATCATCTCATCATCCTCATCATCATCATCATCATCATCATCGATTGTTAATGATCGTTGGTTGCGCAGCTACATTTTACGGTCTGTGCAGGATGCTCACCGGCCTGGAGACCTTCGAAGATATTCAGCTCTCCGGCTTCTCGGGCAACCACGAGAACATCGACCTGCTCGTACCTCCACCCTACCTACACTTTTTCTCTCTTCTCGCCTTGCGTTGGCTGCCTGCGTACCAGTGATTAACACGCACACGCACCACCGCACATGCACACCACCTGCTTCATTAGGTGGGCGATATTTATGGAGGCGACCTCCCGCAATTCGGTCTATCGGCCAACACAGTTGCATCACACTTTGGTTTGTTCCCCCAATTCCTCCTCTTCCCCTTCTCTTTCGTTCTTTTCGTGTTCCTTATTTGTTATTATTATTATTATTTTCTTATTTTCATGTGTACGCGACCGCACACGCACAGGCAAAGCGGCGGTGCAGTTCCCGCGCGCGTCAAACAACAGCGGCCGAGTGCAGATCCCCGACTACATCGAAGAGTCGCAGCTCTACTCCTCCTCCGTTCCCAAGTCGTTCACGCTGCGCCACCAGCGGAAACGATCCTCCTCCTCGACCGGCCCCTTCACCGCCAACTCGCCCTCTCCCGGCCGCGCGGCTTCGAATTCCTCGTCGTCATCGTCATCGTCGACCCCCGCAGCACGGCAAACGCCAAAGAATGCGAGGAATGCACCCGCGCCGCACGTGTGCGTCTCGTCGGCGTGCCCGTGCCCCGGCGCCCAGGGCCGGAAGTCGAGCTCGTTCTCGTCGCTCCCGGCCATGAGCGCCTCGCAGCCGCCGCCCGCGCCGGTCAAGTCGTCGTCTTCGGGCTCGTTCCCGCTGAGCCCGCCGCGCAAGCCCACCACGCGGCGGAAGTCGACCACCAACGCCGGCTCTAGCTCGCCGCCCATTCCGCGCTCGCACTCGCTCGACGACCTCAACCTCGAGGCACCCTGGGAGTGCGTACCCGACACGCTCTTTTCCGCTGTATCGCAGCATTGTCTGACACCACAAACACACACGCACACACGCACAAACACGACAGGAGCCCGGACATTGTGCAGGCGCTGATGTACATGGTGTGTAGCAACATCGCGCAGCTGGCCTACCTCAACGCCAAGCACTACAACATCACTCGAGTCTTCTTCTCCGGCGGATTCGTGCGCAACAACCCCTTGCTGTGGAACAAGCTCTCGACGTCGATCGACTATTGGTCCAAGGGCAACATGCGAGTGCGTGACCTCGCTTCATCTTTATCATCTGAATCATCTTTGCCTCACTGTGCGTCGTGTCGTAGGCGCACTTCCTTCTGCACGATGGATATCTCGGCGCGCTGGGAGCGCTGTTGTCGGGCGCGTCGGCTACATCGTCGCCACCACCTTCGCCTACGTCGCCGCACACCGCTGAAACAACGCAGAGCACACCGTCGTCGTCGTCGTCGTGATATTCTCTCCCAGCGTCCGCCACTTTGTCAACTCTTTTTTGATATGAGCCACGAATATGCTGTACATAGCTATCCATCCACTATCTTCCATTCACCAAATCAACTGTTATCGTCACCATTATCTTTCTTTCTATCTTTCTTTCTATCTTCCTTTTGGTTGCTCCAGGCCCGAGGGAGTATCCTTCATCTTCAAGCTTCGCTCACGTCGACGGGGATCGGAATCCGAAGCCCCATACACGGCTCTGGGTCAACACGTATGTTGAGAATGGCCTGGCCAACATAGTGAGTAGACCATGTGGCATCCACCCATGAAATGGCCGTGAGTTTTCCTCGTCTTGATCCGCCCCGCGACTGAGAATGTCAGAGATCACTTCAACGTGCGTGCTCCACCCAATCCGCAGGCCGCGAAGAAATGGCTTTGGCCGGGATTCGTGCCCGCGACCAAGTATAATCCTGGCCAATCCGAAAAGAGGAGTTTTGCAGGTGGAAATTTCGACTAAAAGATGGACAAGGAGATGATCTACGAGGCGGAGGCTGGCAAGGGGGTGGAAATGAGGAGGAAATCCAGCCCGCCGGTCGTACGTCTTCTAGGAGGGATGTCCCTCGCTAGCCCGGAGCTCACTTTTTGAAACGCGCACCAGCCCTGGTGTCCATCGTCCGCCCATTTGTACCCTCCTCAACCCACTCTGCTTTTCATTCACACACTCAACTCCTCAAAGCATCAAGCCAGACAAGCTTCTTCTTCGTTCTTCTTCATTTCGTTTCGCACATCGACAACTTCCAACCTCTCCATTTCTTCTTCTCCTCCTCTTCTGTCTTCTACCTTTTATCTCTACTCGCCATTTCTCCTTCATCACCAGCACCAGATAGATAGAAGCACATACACAACATCACCGCCCACTCTTTACACACAACACACACAAGCATGAGCATGCTGCAGTCTTACCCTGCGGTGGAGGAGATGCGACCTGCCTCTTCCTCATCTTCGCGATGTGGCCTCCAGGCCAAGGAGAAGGACTGCTGCTACTCGTCGCCCGACCACGCCCCCTCGCGCACGGTCATCAAGGGCTACGTGCCCAAGGTGGCCGACACGACGGCCCTCCCCCACGTGCGCCCCTCCCCTTCGCTTCGCTTTCGCTCTTTTCTTCTTTTCCATTCGTTCTTTTGTTCGGAGTTGGTTGCGTTCTCTCGGAGCTAAAATGATCGCCCTTGGTTCCTTTTCTGCAGAATGAGGGACCCAACGGGCGCAAGTGGCACACGGCGACGCAGATGAAGAACAAGCTGATCGTGCTGGGCGGCGAGGCCAACAACAAGCAGTTCATGCGCGACATCCTCGTGCTCGACCTCGACAACATGCAGTGGAGCCGATCCGCCGTCGCGCTGCCCGAGCCCGTCGCCGGACACAGCGCCGTGGCCGTCGGCGACAGCGTGTACTACTACGGCGGCATCTCGCGCCAGGGCGTCTACTACGGCACCGTGTACCGCGTCCGTTGCGATGCAACCGGCGAGCCAACCAGCATCGAGGAGGTCCCCACCCGCTTTAACAACAACAATTCCAACAATGCGGCCGCTGCCGCCGCCGCCGCGGCCGTGCCCGTGCGACCGTGCAGTCGCGAGGGCCAGACCTGGACCCTGATCTCGCCTACCAAGGTGCTCATGTTCGGCGGCTTCGGTCTGCGCAACGGCATCCGCGACTTCTTCAACGACACCCACGTGCTCGACACGGAGACGGGTCTCTGGACCAAGCTTGAAACGACCGGCACCGCGCCCACGCCGCGCTTCTACCACTCGGCCTCGCTCGTGGGCACCAACAAGCTGTGGGTCCACGGCGGCTGGACCGGCTACGCCCGCGAGAACGACTTCTACGTGCTTGACCTTGGTACGTACCAAGAAGAAGAAGAAGACGAAGAGAATAAGACGGTAATGATGAACTCACGATGATGTAATGATAACAGAGAAGCTCAAGTGGAAGCGCGTGGTGCCGCTGAACAACTCGAAGCCGGAGCGTGACGAGACGGGCGAGTGGTACGACCACGCCTGGGAGAACGAGCAGGGCGGCGAGATCCTGCCCCGCTCCGAACACGCCACCGTGGTCATGGGCAAGAAGATCATCATCATCGGCGGCATGGGCGCCCACTTCGTCCGCGACGACATCTGCATCATCGACACCGGTACCACTACCACACCTCCTTCACCACGACTGCTGTTGGCGCCGCTACTCGCCACCTCACCAGCCACCTTAAACTCACAAAACGTTTTTTTTCTTTCACAGAAAATCTGACGTGGCGCGAGGTGCCCTCTGAGTGTAGCGGCGAGATGATGCCCAGGTCGGGCCTCTCGGCGTCGCTGATCGACACCCGCATCTACGTGATCGGCGGCCACCACGACTTCACGATCCACAACAACGTGTTCCTCCTCAAGACCGAGCGACCCATCGAGCGCAAGGAGGTCTACGCCCAGGGCTCCTTCCTCCAGGACATGTCCTTCCTCTGGGAGAACCGCCAGTTCTGCGACCTCACCCTCGTACGTCCTCCACGCAACACGACACGACACGCAACACGGCACGCAACACGACACGACACGCAACACGGCACGACGCACAGATGAACTCAAGTTGTTTCGTTTATGCAGGTGTTGGAGGGGCAGGAGGTGCAGGTCCATCGGGCGCTGCTGTGGGTGCGCTGCGCCTACTTCCGTTCGATGTTCAGCAGCGGCATGACCGAGACGAAGAAGGACCGGATAGAGCTGGCCGGCGTGCCGCTGCAGTACTTCATGTACCTGCTCGAGTTCATCTACACCTCGCAGTGCAGCCCGCTGTCGACGATGAGCGAGTGCGACGACGACGATCTCGACACGGTGAAGGGCATCCTGGTGCTGGCCAACGAGTTCATGATGGAGGACCTCGTGGCCCAGTGCGAGAACAAGCTGATCGACATCATGGACTGCAACAACGTCGTGCCGCTGCTCGAGCTGGCCTCGTTCTACTTCGCGTCGACCCTGCGCTCGGCCTGCGTCAACTTCATCTCCAACAACTACGATATCGTGTCCAAGACGATGGAGTTCGACGACCTCCCCTCCGAGACCAAGGACGAGGTCAAGAGGCTCAAGGCCCTCTAAGCGACCTTCCTCTACCCTGTATATACCTCCCTCGACCACCTCCTCGCTATCCACCACATCACCATCATCATCTTCTTCATCTTCTTCATCGTCTTCGACTTCTCTACAATGACCGATGTCTCCCCGAACAGCGCTGCGGCCCTGCAATCGATCATTGCTCGATCTCTCCTCTCACACTCCCCGCACTCCTGTGCTGTACATACCCCACACACCACCTCACCACAACGCATATATATGCCCTGTCTATACTCACACGCACATGGACGACAACTTATAAATATATTATATATATATATATCTGTCAGTCTAGCTGTGTCTTGCTCTCGCTTTGTCTCTCAGGCGTGCACGTTTTGGTGTGTGCTTTGAAGGAAGATTCATTCAAATCTTTTTGGGTTTTCACAAGAAATCGAAGTCATACAGTCCTTCGAGGGCATTGTCCTCATATGCATTCATCTGCACCCCTACATCTGACGGAACAGAGGAGGAAGAGACGGACAACATCAGCATCCATTTGTGCAACAACTGCCTGAACCGACGTATGTACCTTCATCAGGAGTTGTGGTCGGGGTCTCGGTGGCCAGCGACGACGGCTGGCCGATCGAGGTCATGGTGTCGGCCTCCTGCGCTGTGTTCAAGGCCGTAGAGGCCTCAACATCGAGGGCTTTCGCGAGGTTGCCAAAGGCGGATTCAGGGATGGCACAAGCAGCACCAAGCTGGGCGGCCCCGAACCGGGGCAGAGAAGGGATGAGCGTCGATGGAGAGGGACGTGGGCTGTTGTTGGTCAGTGGCGTGCAGGGGCGCGGGATGGGGGCTGGGGTGGACGATGATGGATAACTGCAAAACGAAAAACGAAACGCAAACGAAAACAAAAAGTCAGTTTGGTCGAACAACAACTCAAGGGAGGAGAGGATCGCCTTACCTGGAGACACGGCTTCTGGCTCAGAAGAGTGAGAAGAGTGAGGAGAGACCTGCGCGGTGATGAAGGGGTTGAGTAAGACCTGGAGCACAATCTGGAGTTGTTGATAGGAGTGCTGGGGTCATCCAAGAAGGTGTTGGCAACACAACGGGCCACCGATCTGGCCCACCTGCGCCTCTGCGCCACATGTACCTCAATATAGCCATACACTTGCGTGCCAAAGGTTAAGTCGTAGTATGCCAAAGGTTCACGCCTGAACAGTGGTAGCCTAGAGTTCGGACCAGGCCCATTCACCATGATAACGGCCGGTGGGTGTGTGCTCTGCTAAAACAGCATTTGTAGGACATACTTTTAAGTAGAGACACGTTGGCATGTTGTCAGTGTCGTTAAGACGAAGGCGGTGCAGCATAGGTGGCAGCTGCTGTGTGGAGGGGCGAGCCCGTCATTCGGACCAATAGGCGACAGCCTGATTAGAGTTAAAAAAGGCGCTTTGAGTTCGTTGTTTTTTTACTTTTTACAACACCAGCTTGGACGAAGAGGATGGCAGCCGAGTTTGTGGCGAAGACGCCCATCCTGGCGGACGCGGTGAAGGACCTGACCGGTTTTTACCAGCAGCTTGCCGCCCCTACCACCCCCGCCGTACGTACCTGCGCCAGGATTTCATTTATCTTTTTAAATTACAATTTATCTTTTAATCAATTCAATCTTTATAATGTGCGATTGATCGTGTGCCGCCACAGCGGCGGAAATTTTGTGCTCTGTTTTTAATGGCATTGACGAACTGATTTGTTTGTGCAGTTGGCGATCTGGTTCACGTTCTGGGGATTCCTTGTGGTGTGCTACTACCTGGTCCCGGGTCCCGTCGGCCGCGGCGTGCCCCTCAAGAATGGCAAGCAGCTCGGTACGTCATTCATCTAATCTCTCAATTATTCCACCATTACTCATTGTGTGCTAATAATACTAACAATAATAATAAATTTTCTTTTTATTATTTGTTTGAGCTTTTTATCAAGAAATAATAATAATAACA